TGCCGTGCCGGGCTGCGCCCCGAGCGAGCGGGGGGCGGGGGTCTGGCCGGGCGCTGACGGCCGTGTGTCTGCAGGGTTGTGGAGACAACCCCCAACTGACGGCCGTGTGTCTGCAGGTTTGTGGAGGCCCAGAGCAACCCCCAGAGCAGCCCCCTGGTGCTGTGGCTGAACGGGGGCCCCGGCTGCAGCTCCATGGAGGGCTTCCTGAAGGAGCATGGCCCCTTCCTGGTCAGTAGTCGCAGCCGTCCCACGGCTCGGGGCCGCCGGGGGTTGGCAGGCTGCATGGCACGAGCCATCCCGCTGGGGCCAGCCTGGTTGTGCCCATCAGTCACTGCCTTCTGCTTCCCCAGATCCAGCCCGACGGGGTCACGCTGAAGTACAATGACTATGCCTGGAACAAGGTACGGGTGTGGGCGCTGCAGCCCTCCAACAGCTGTGGGGAGAGGGTGGCCCCGAGCCAGTTCCTCCTGCGCTCTCCATGGAGCCGAGCCTCCCACAGGCTCCCCCCGCCCTGCCCAACACACCCTCCTCTCAAGTCTGCTGTCGAGCAGAGCAGGAATGCCATCCCCCCCAGCGCAGCCCTGGGGCAGGCCGGGCATCCACGGGTGCTGCCACCGGCGAGGCCAGCAGCCCTCTGCCTCACTGAGCCAGGAGGGGGGTCTCCTCTGATCTCCAGCTCCTCTGCTGTCCCTGCAGATTGCCAACGTGCTCTACGTGGAGTCCCCCGCTGGCGTCGGCTTCTCCTACTCCGAGGACAAGAAGTATGCCACAAACGACACCGAGGCGAGTGACCCGGGCTGCTGGGAGGGACCTGCCTCCTGCCTGTCCCAGCCTGGGCGCTTGGGGGTCCTGCCTTGCTGCCTGACCCCTGTCTCCTCCTGCCTGCAGGTTGCTCACAACAACTACCTGGCGCTGAAGGATTTCCTCCGGCTCTTTCCCGAGTACTCCAAGAACGATCTCTTCCTCACGGGGGAGAGCTACGGGGGGGTCTACATCCCCACGCTGGCGGAGTGGGTGATGCAGGACCCCAGCCTCAACCTGAAGGTGAGCGGCTGGGCTCTGACGCCAGCCTGGGCTGAGCCGGGGAGCGGAGGGCTTGGCACGGCCTCGCTGGGGCTCTCGAGCAGTACCGGGGTGGGGACTGGCTGCGCAGCCGGCGTGCAGAGCCCCCTCTGGGACGTAGGGCAGGTCTGGCCCTGTGGCCTTTCATCTTCTCCTGGGGTGCTGGCAGCAGCTGCTGGTGGACGTGTCCGTCCCTGCCGAGTGGGACCAGGGGAGCGTTCTCAGGCACCCCCAACCCTTCCTGTTCCCTCTGTGGAGTAAACAGTGCCGCATCTGCTTCCTGCCTGCCGCTGCTGCCACTGCAGCTGCCCTGTGGGGAGCTGGAACACAACAGAGTTGTTTTCTTCTTGCCTCGCAGGGAATTGCCGTGGGAAATGGCCTCTCCTCCTACGAGATCAATGACAACTCCCTGGTTTACTTTGCCTATTACCACGGCCTGCTGGGGACCGAGTAAGAGGAGGGGGAGCGCTGCTGCTAGATGCACTGTCCCTGCATGAGCAGGACGGGGACACGGCATGGGACGGGGCTGGCTGGGTCAATGGTGTGTGGGACAGGGGATGCTCCTGGCCTGACTTGGGCCAGCAGCCGGGCTGTGGAGATGGCCCCTTGTCCTGGGCAGCTCCCTTGGGCACATTTGTTTGTGGGGCGCGCAGGGCACCGGGCTGAGCCGCGTGCTGTGCAGCTGCTAGGCAGGGAGCCTGCAGCGCAGCTGTGGCCGTGGCCGCTGGCTTTGTGTCGGTGTTGCCATCTGGGCAGCGCGGTCCAATCCCCTGGTCTCTGCCCGCAGGCTGTGGAGGGACTTGCAGGCCTTCTGCTGCTCCCAAGGGAAGTGCAACTTCCACGACAATTCCAACCTGAACTGCACACTCAAGGTGAGGGGAGCCGGAGCCCCCGAGTGCGTGCCCAGCGCCGGTGTCTGTGAGCAGCACCTACCCGCCTGGCTCTGGATGGGCCCACGGTCCCTCAAGCATCCTGCTGAATCCCAAACCCTTCTTGCGGCTCGTTGCAGATGGCGGAGATGATTCAGATCGTAGAGGAGTCCGGCCTCAACATCTACAACCTCTATGCCCCGTGCGATGGTGGTGTCCCTGGGAGCATGAGGTGAGACTGGCCCCAGGGGAGATGGGTCTTGCTTTGGTTTGCAGCGCGTGGGGTCCTGGCTGGCAGAGGGGTCCCTCTGGGACAGGTGGACTGTGTCTGGCTGCTGTCGAGGACTTCCCCGAGGGAGGACCCCGAGTCCTTTTTCCTCCAGAGCTTTCAGCCTGTCCCTGTGCTCGTTCCGGCTGCAGGTACGAGGGTGACTATCTCATCACACATGACCTGGGCAACTCCTTCATCCAGATGCCGATGAGGTTCTCCTGGCGGCAGGTGAGCCTGGGTGCTCGTGCCACCAGGCTGCGAGCATCCTCTGCCTGGCCAGCGGTGCTGCCTGTAGGCAGGAGGGGGCAAAGAGCAGCTGCTCCCATGGGGCAGCACCAGGTGCTGCTGTGGCAGGGACTCTTCCCAACTCTCTCCCAGAACCTGTTCCGGATGCCGGTAGCCCGGAAGAAGGTCCGGATGGACCCTCCCTGCACGAACTCCACAGCCCTCCGCGTGTATCTGAACTCTCCGGAGGTGAGGAAGGCTCTTCACATCTCCCCCGACGCCCCAGAGTGGCAGGTGTGCAGGTGAGCAAGCTCTGGGCTGGGAGGGACCACCATGAGCCTGAGCAGCCGCGTGATGCCCATGCTTCCTCTGCAGCTTCGAGGTGAACCACAGCTACAAGCGCCTGTACATGCAGATGAACAACCAGTACCTGAAGCTGCTCGGAGCCATGGTGCGTGTGGGGGAAGCCACCGGGCCCTGAGACCGGCTCTGCAAACCGGCCTCCTGCCTGGCCGGGGCTGCTGCCCTGCGAAACGCTCACCCTCCTCCTGCTCTGCAGAAATACCGGATCCTGGTGTACAACGGGGACGTCGACATGGCCTGCAACTTCCTCGGGGACGAGTGGTTTGTGGACTCCCTGTGCCAGAAGGTAAATGGGCAGGGCGGGGCCTGGGCCAGGCCGGTCACCAGCTCCAGGCTGTGCAGTTGGCTGCGCGCCGGGGCTGGCTGCGGCAGAGCGTGGGCAGGGCTGGCCCCCTGCCTCGGGCAGCCGGGGCACTGAGGGCGCTGCTGCCGGTCCCAGGTGCAGGTGGCTCGCCGGCCCTGGCTCTACACTGAAGGAGGCGAGAACCAAATCGGGGGCTTCGTGAAGGAATTTACCAACATCGCCTTCCTCACTGTCAAGGTAGGGCTGAGGGGGCTCCGGGAGACGGGGACAGGGCCGCTGGCCGCAGCGCAGGCAGGCGTGCCAGACACCAGTGCTGCGGTCAGAGTGGGGCAGTGCTGGCTGGGCTGCGGGCAGCCTGGGGCTGAAGGTGCTTGCGGGGCAGTGGCAGCCCCACAGCTGGCACTGACCTGCTGCCGCCTGTTTCCCACAGGGAGCTGGCCACATGGTGCCCACGGACCGGCCGCTCGCTGCCTTCACCATGTTCAGCCGCTTCATTAAGAACGAGCCTTACTAGGAGCTGTGGAGGCAGCGCCTGGCGCCCCGGCTGCCCTCTCCACCCGGCACCTCCTGCACAGCTCGTCCTTGGTGCTGCTCAGCTGCGCCCAGGCTCCCTGCGCCATGAAACGAGTCACTCCTGCAGCCGGTGGGGCTCCCTGCTCCAGCCCAGGGGCTCTGCCCAGCCCTGAGAATGGTGCCCAGCTGGACAGGGTGGAGGATGGGGCTGCCTGCGGTGGGTGGGGGGCACGGGCTGGGGGGCAAGGAGTCCCAGGGGCTCTGTCCTTGCTGGGTGAGGAGTTGTGCCCCTGCTGCAGCCGCCTCCTCACTTGTGGCTTCCTGTCTCGCCTCCTCCCTGTCTGGGGAGGCAGTTACTTCCCTCCTGGGAAGGGAGCAGTCCTCACCACTTCCCCTCTGCCCTGCGGCCCCTGCATGCACACAGCCCTGGGCAGGCTCCGAGGCAGCTGCCCCCTGCTAGGAATGCAGTTCACGTGGCGGCTGTGGGCAGCTGGGCGCTGCTCCTGCAGGGACTTTCTGCTCCCCTCCAACCCACTCCCACATCTGATCCCGGTGAAGGAGGCTTACCACAAAGACAATCCCACCACCTGCTCACTGCCTGGGGCACGCAGCGCTTCTGGGAACTCGCAATAAACTCTCTGAACAAGGTGGTTCTGCTCCTCACTGCCCAGCTCCTCGCACCACCCTGCAACCCCCCGCTTTGCTTTCCTTTGAGGAGTACCAGTATGCACCAAGGATCTAGCAGAGGTGAGTGCTGACACGCTGTGCTGGGGAGCCAGGGTCTGTGGTCTGTGCCCCCCTCTCCGTAGGGGGTCACTGCGGCCTGGAAACAAGCCACCCGCAAAAGCAGGGGAAGTGCAGTTGCTCTGAGCCCCTCTGCCACTGTTCTGAGCTGTGTCTGCCTCCCAAGTACCTTGGCCGGGGGAGCAGCGCTGTCTGCCTCCTTCCCCATCTCTCCCCACGTGCTGGCAGCCGTGCAGTCCGGCGTGGGCACATCTCCAAGCAATGAGGCCGCGTGGGTTGGAGTCAAGTGGTTTATTAGTGTAACAAGATGGGGTGCAGCAGGGGTTCCCAGAGCGGCTGTCTCCGCCTTGCTGCTACCCACCAGGGCATGGGTGCCCTGCAGAATGTGCCGGTGGTACCGGGGAAGCTGCTTCCTACCTACAGTCTACGGGTCCAGCCCGGGATCTGCCCTCGGTCCGGGGTGAAGGAGCGAGTGGGGAGAAGAGCTAGAGCTGGCGGGGGTCCATGCTGGGCTCTGCAGGCCTTGAGCTGGGGTAGGCGGGGGGGGGAGGGGGGGCGGTATTTCTCAATCACCTCCCGCAGCCCCTTGGAGAAGTGGAGATCAGCTCCCACCGTGAGGAATCCCTGCGAAGGCAAAGAGGATTAGCGCAAGGCTGGGTGTAATTGTGCCCTGCCCCAGCAGGACATGGTCCCTGCCCCCGCTGGGGGTGCCCAGGCTGTCCCCATCCTGCCACGTACCGCATGGTTGGTGACCACCTCCTTGGTGAAGTCCATGCCTTCTGGCAGTGGGATCTGCACCCCCTTTTTAGTCCTCTCTGCAGGGAGGGAGAGATGCAGTGAAACAGAGTCCCACTGTGCCCCTGCCCCAAGCCCAGGTGCGTGCGGGCAGCGGTGGTGCCTACCATTAATGATGGGCATGATTGTCAGCTGCAGCAGGGTCTTCAGTGGGGCCTGCAGTGAGAACAGCTGGGGAGAGAGGAATGTGGGTGAGCACACCAGCAGCAGCGGCAGACCTGCCTGCCTGGGCAGGGCATGCCTGCACTTAGCACTGGGTGGGCTAGAAGGAGTGTCCTGCAATGCACAGCCCCTCCCCAAGCCTGCCCCGTGCTGTGGCTGGGTGCTAGCAAGGGAGGCCGGACCCCCCCCCCCCGGC